CGCCCCGCCTCGTCCCAGGCGCAGCGGCCCGCGGGCTCCAGGCTCACCCCACGCCATCTCTGGCTCCGAGCTGGGAGGCCGAGGCTCGAGTCCTGTGCGAGATTGTGCTGACCGCGCAGAGTGTCCGAACAGTGTCTGGCGTCCCTTGATGCCGGGAGCCGACAGTGGCCGAGCTGCTTGAGGAGGCATCTGGCGCTTTACTCTCGGACCGGCGCTCCTCCCTGGTCTGAGGCAAAAGGAGCCAGGCTTCTCTCCAGACCCGGGCAGGGCAGGCAGGGACGCCCAGAGGCTCTGGGTGTGGCAGTGAACCTCTTCCCAGAACTTGTCTCTGCCTCACAGCACTCACTTATCTGGAGAAAGCTGCTGGAACCATCTGGACCTGGCTTCACAGGGAGGGGGACAAGAGTATGAGCACAGGTAGAAACTCGGATCCTTCTCAAAGGGCATCCTTAGCAAAAGGTGCAGCGATCCAGGGTTGCCCAACCAGAAGCTCCCTGATAAAGGTTACTGCTAGTAATACTTCTTTTTGTACAATAATAACTTCTTATTTGGGTTATAGCCCAAACAAAATATTAACAGCGTTATACTATCAGCCTTTTATCAGGCCAGCTAGGTCTGAATTAAGATGCCTGGAGCCCACATGACCAACTTTGTCATTAGAGTCCTGAACCAGTGGCTTGAAAATCACACTGGGCATGTGTACATGTGCCCCACAATTCCAAGAGCAAAATGGAGAAGGGATTGCAGAGTGGCCAATCCCCTGGGAAGTGTTTTCTCACTTTTTCTCTCTCCAGCGATTACATGTACCCTATTGCAAATGGAAAAAAGAAAAATATTACATTATTAAATCCTTTGAAAGTGTCAGCATATCAATTTTTGTAGGTTACATTTTTTTTAATCTTCATAAGAGCCAATCCTAAAAGGTTTTAGATTTAAATTTTTATTTTTAAAATTTTCTTTTTTTCTAGGAGTGAGAGAGACAGGGAAAGAAGCAACCCAAATGCTGCATTTCACCCCTAACCTCAGCCAGCCCTGGATCATGGGCAACTCTTCCCAGAACTTGTCTCTCTTCACAGCACTCACTTATCTGGAGAAAGCTGCTGGAACCATCTGGACCTGGCTTCACAGGGAGGGGGGCATGCCTGGCATGCTCACAGAGATCTCCAGATGCAAACCTGGAACCTTCCCATTCGGTCAGCCTCAGAGGTGGGTTTACCACTGTGCCACCTCTCCGTATCGTACATCTTAACTACAAATCAATCACTGTTTCTCTTGGCGAACTTCGAGAGTATATGCATCATCTTTGTCGTATAGGATGGTTAACTACTGTGATAACCAGAAATTTATCTTCTGAGTGTGGGATACTGAAAAACAGACTTATTGATTTAAAATGGTTCGTTGGGCCAGCCTTGTTGCACATCAATAAAGTGCTCTGTTTCTGGAGCTGGATCCCACAGGCCCAACCCTGGTTCCGATCCTGACCCTGGGTGGTTTGAAGAGCAGGATGGGTGCATGTGCATGCATGCCCCAAATCCTGGCAGGATAGAGACTGGAGAAACAAATGATAAGGGGGGATAGCCAAGTGTCATGGTAGTTGGGGTGGCTGGACCCCACATGGCCAACCATGCAGTTTGAGTCCTAAGAGGAGAATGGAGACAGGGTTGCACTATGGTCATTCCCCTTGAGGGTTGCTTTCTCTGTGTGTCAGTCTGCAGTGAGCACATGTACCCTATAGCATGCATCCATGTGCACATGTATGACTACACCCCAGTGGGTGATCCTCCTCTGTCTCTCTCTCTCTCTCTCTCCCCCCATTTCCTCTCTCTGACGAATGCATGTACTCTCTGGTGATTAAAGAAAAAAAGGTAATAAAATGGTTTATTTTATGTTTCTTTGGTTGAACTATTACTAGATGCCATTCTGAAATTCACTGAGATTATACATTTTATATATTTTTAAATAATTATTTTAAAAATATATTTTATTTATTCATTCATTTATTTTAATATGACCAGAGAGAGTCACACACACAGAGAGAGAGAAAATGAGAAAGCAAGCCACCAGGTCTGGGATTCAAACCATGGTCAGCCATGTGGGCAGCTTAACCACCATGCCACCTGCTGGTCCCCACACATATGATTATTTTTAAAGAATCATTTCATGTCATGTATTATTATTATTATATTTGCTGTATGGCACATGTGCTCACCAGAGAGAGAGAGGAAAACGGTGAGAAAGCAAGCCACCAGGTCTAGACTTGAACCACAGTCTGCCATGTGGGAATCCAGTACTTTAACTACTACATCACCCGCAGCATCCCCCTTTTCTTTAATTTGCCAAAGGACACATGTGCTCATGGGGCGGGAGGAGAGAGAAAGTGAGAGAGTACCCTCCTAGGAGGGATGGTCGCACTATAATCTCTTCTCCATCTCTCGCTCTCCTTTGGAGATTTGAAACATGCATGTGGGCCCAGTGTGTTTCTCAAGGTGCAGGGTCCAGGACTTGAACTGAGTAGTTGCCCATATGGGGTTCAGCTGCCTTAACCACCACACCACTGGCTGGCCCTTTATAATAATAATAAAGTGATGATATTTATTTATTTCATGAGTGAGAGAGACATAGAGACAGGCTTTCCCAACAATGTCCTAATGTTGTGATCCGCCTCATTCTCAGCCAACCCAGACCAGGGACACACACAGAAGTGTGCTCAGGGAAGTTCTAGGACATGAAGCCGAGACTTTTCCCTTGTGGGTCCAGTTGCGATCACTGTGCCATCCCACCTGGCCCAAGATTTTACCTTCTTTTTAGTTTTTTTTTTTTTTTTTTTTTTTTAAGAGGTTTTTGCTATAGCGCACGTGCACTCGTCAGAAAGACAGAGACAGAGAGCGAGAAGTCATCCCCCATGGGGGATTTTACCTTCTTTTTAAAATTTTTTATTTGCTGAAGGGCACTGTGCTTACAAGAGAGAGATAAAGAGAGGGGGAGAGAGAGAGAAAGAGAGCGAGCAAGAAACACTCCCCCAGGAGAGATGGCAAGGCAATAATCCCTTCTCCTCCACCCTCCTCTCCGGATTTTGGGCACACATGCACACGCTTTCAGTGTGTTTTTCAAGCGGCTGGACCTGGTACTCAAACCACATTGTTGGCCTTGTGAGATCCAGCCACCTTTAACCACCACACCGCTGGCTGGCCCAGATTTTTAAGTCGTCTTAACTTTTGTACATATGCAGTAAATTTACTCATTCCTTTATTTATTCATTCCTACTCAGAAGTAAATTCCTCAGCAGTATGTTTTTAAGCTTTTTAATGTATTGCTTACATTAGTGAGATAGCAAGAGAGAGAGTCAGAGCCAGAGAGATAGCCAGAGCCAGAGAGATAGCACCCCAAACAGGGTCGTGATGCCACAATCCACGCACAGTCTGAGCCAGTCCCGGATCATGGGCATGTGTGTGCTTGGCACACTCAGAGAAGTCTCTGGATTCTCTGTAACCTTCCCATGTTCATTAGCTTTAAAGAACATTGCATTTTACCCCTACACTCCCATCTGTCCTCTTTTTATTTTTTAATTACTTTTTACATTTTTATTTATTATTTTTTAGTTTTTGCTGTAGGACATGTGCACTTGCCAGAAAGAGACAAAGAGGGAGAGAAATCACCCCCCAGGGAGGATAGCCACACTATCATTTCTTTTCTTCCAGTATCCTCTCAGGATTTTGGACATGCATGTGCATGCACCTGGCATGATTTTCTTTCTTTCTTTTTTTAAAAATTACTTATTTTATTTTATCTATCATTCAATTTTTGCTATAAGGCACATGCACTCACTAGAGAGAGACAGAGAAGGGGAAAGTGAGAAAGCAAGCCACCAGATCCAGGACTTGAACTGTGGTTGGTCATGTGCAAGTCCAGTGCCCTAACTACCATGTCACCAGCCAGCCCACCTGGCATGATTTTCAAGCTGCCAGGTTTGATGCCTGAACTGTGCAGTTGGACATGTGTGATCCAGTGCCTTAAAGTACATGCTACTGACTAGCCTTGGCCCCTCTTTTACATTTTTAATTTTGCTTGAGGGAATGTACATTTTGTGGGGAGAGACACACGGAGAGAAGGAAAGTAAACACCACCCCCATATAGTATGGTTCTGCTGCAATCCTTTCTCCTCTATTTCTCCCTCCTACTTGGATTTTGGGTACACACATCTATGCGCCTGATATTTCTCAAGCTGCCAGGTCTGGAACTTGAACCGTGTAGTTGGCCATGTGGAATCCAGCCACCTAAACCACCAGGCCATGGATTGCCACCCCCTTTTGTTTTTTAAGGTTTTGTTTTTTGTTTCGTTTTTGCCATAGGGTGTGTGTGCTCACTGGAGAGAGACAGAGAAAGGAACATGAAAACTCACCCCTCAGGAGGATAGCCACACCACAATCCCTTCTCCTGTTTTCCTCCTGGGATCTTAGGCACACATGCACACATGCCCAGTGCAATTTTTCAAGCTCATATCTGGGACTCAAACTGCAGTCAGCCATGTAGGAGTTCAGTGCCTTAGCCACCATACCTCCTGCTAGCCCCAGACCCCCCCCCCTGC